ATAGTTCTATTTCTTTGTGTCTATGCGCAAGGCTACACAATGAGCTTTCTGTGCTGTGACCACCGCAGGTATCTAAATCCGGTTTTTAGCGTTATAAGCCTTCAGACTTGCCGCTAGATGTACAAGGTATGTAAAGATGTAATTTCAAAGTGGCCATGTTAAACAAGACTCAATTATGGCAAACTTGGCCACTCCTCTTTTATTATTATTCATCTTACAACAAGTTTCTTTTGCATTGACAAAGGACGGGCCAAGTTTGCCTTAATTGTGTTTGTTGAACAACAGTTTAACATTACATATTTATATAACTTGGATCTTCTTTTGTGTGTGTGAGTGTAGTTATCAAATCTTTATATGGTTGGTTCCTTTATTGTAACTTAACTGTTTTTAAATATAAAGCTTTTAATCAAATATCAACTTCTTGTCCTAAATTAAAATTTTTCACAATACAAAACTTGATGTTAAGTATAATGTATTTTATTATTATTTTCCATACAAAACTTGGACTTAGTTATCAGATGATCTTTGGATGAAAAATCATTTAGCTATTTAAATTAACTATGATTTTTAATGGGTAAATCTATTTTAATTCAAAGAAGTATAATAAGGTACTGTTGAATAGTGCCTGCCATCTATTCGAAAATATTGTTATTAATTTTAACAGCCTTAAAGTGTTATAATTTTGTTAATTATACGTGTAACGAGATATCAGTATTATTAGGCCTTCACACCATAGCCTCACAGATATTTTAGAAGTTCAATACGTCCTACAGTGTTGAATTTAGTCACAATCCCTATTTCAGATTAATCCATACATAATATGTGCTCATTGTTTACTTTATGTTTTGCCAATACTTTTACTATTTTTATTGATTCTTTAGATTAATCTATAAGATATTACGTTGCTAACTTGCTTGTGTTGTTAGAGTGTTTACATCTATTCAGAAACATTAAGCATTTTGAACAGCTGTACAAAAGCTCGATCGGTACATATATTTTTACTGGGCTGTATGTGTTGTTATACTTACATATATATATATTTCGACTTACTTTAAAAACTATGTATTCTATGTACTGTTTTTGACTGGGTTAGCTGTAGAGCAGTGTTAAAGCAGCGAAAGCGCTACCTATCTCCCGAAATCAAGAATATAAATAAAAAAGATATTTCGAATGGTGGTGCTATATATATATATATATATATATCAAGCTTGAGAAGATCACACCCCTTGTATATTTAACGTGTAAAACGAATTCTCTGTTTAATTAATAATTATTCCCTTATTGGCAAAATCATACATGAAACATTATTATAAAGCAAACTTTAAATTAAATATAAATAGGCTTTAAAAATTAAATATAAACAAATTGAAATTTAATTCCAATATTTTGAAATAACCTACAAAACTGCTTACTTCGACGTTGCTCAACGTGGCTAATTTTCGTTTTGGTCCCTCGAGTTTCATGAGGTAAAGATCTGTTGCTAGTGGAGTTTCAGAACGTGCGGCTGAGGCTGTGGATTCCGACTCGTCCAGATAAGCAACAGATGGATCCATTGACGACGTGGGTTGTAAAACAGGGGAGGATTTCACGGAAAACACATCTATGTAGGAGGTAGATTTATCTATATGATAAAAAATTAATCAAAGCACCAAATCAGTAGCCGCATATATATATACTTAAAATTATTAGGTATTTGAAAAGAACTGGACGGATTTTCACCAGTTACTTTGACTTGTTAGAACTATAGTGTATAGGGTAGAATTATTGTCTAACCATAGATGGCGCGCGTATAGCTAAAATGTTTGTTTATCGAATCCAAATTTTATTTTGTCTAATACCTGTACCTTAATAAGTAGTTCTTTTTATGCTTGCTTTCAAGTCCACTAAAAATAACTTACGCACGAGTCTTATCGGTAATTGAATTACGCATTATCTCTGTTTGTAGTTGTCGTTTTTCATATAAAAAGTCATTAAAGCATCTTATCGAAATTCGACAATTGGATCCTTTTTTTCCTTCTTTGCAAATACTGAATTTTATAGTATGTCAGTAGAAATAAAAATTCGTATGATTGTCATTCGAAAATTTGAAATTAAAACTATTGATTACGAATGTACGTTCAAAACCACACCAAATGATTTCAGTAACTGTTATAGCGTTCAATACCGCTATTAAATCATACTCTTCATGGGTATGCGTTATTGTCGAGAATTGAAACTTCATTCAATATCTCTATTAATTGTTACTGAATTCTTCGAAGTACCTACATGAGAGGTCATAATGTTTGGTAGTTTTTAAACGTGGATCCTTATACGGACATTATACAGCTTATGTTATAAATATGTGCACACATATTTGCCCATTTCTCAGAATACGTAGCAAAGTAATTAGGAAAAATTATGAAGTACAATGATAGTTTACCCTACAGAAATTTTCACTAGTAATTCAATCGAGGCATACACCATCCTCTGAGGGGCTTTTCTGGTTTGTCTGGGCTGAAACATACAGCGGCTGTCATTACAAAAACAGAAGATCCGATGTGACATGAACAGAGATTTACATTAGATGATAATACAGATTCATGACATAATGATTAATGTGTTTATTTATGTGAACAATTATGACGAAGATTCCATACGCGGTATAATAATCAAAAAGACCGCGACGACGTTTATGAACAGGTAAAACCTGTCTACCTCTTTTCTAGCAATCAGACTGTATAGTGTATTAATAAAATGAACGTAATTGCAACTACAAACAAAAGTGAAAAGGAATAAACGATGATTCAAAATAGCCATAGAATTACTCAAATCATTAAACCGCGTAAAAACCTTTTATTACTAGCAACGTCCTTTCGAACAACAGAGACTAAAAACAGATGATGACTAAAACAATTCATTTACATGTTGTACTCTCGTTTACAGAACGCTTGAGGATTAAGTTATTAGTGGATCATACACCTAGCAACAACAACTGAAAAGGTCTTTACCCTATCTTTATACTTCTGGTAACCTAATAGTTATTTCCGAAAACAAAACAACAAAAAACACTTTCAATGGACCTATAGAGATCTTTAGAGAGCGATCTTAAAATATGCTGGCCTACAATGTTGTAATGATTTGATCACATTCACCTTTCGTGCCAACATTCCGCTTATAATGATGTAAATAAAATAAAATAACATAATGAACCCAAAGTTTGTTAATTAATCTGGGGAGTCTAGTTGCTTGTGAGGTTTGTTTTATAGCTATTGTTGTTATTATTATTATTATTCTGAACATTTCGCACATATTATATAATTATAATTAACATTACCTACCAGATACATCGCTGTCAAGAGACATTTCTCGTGATGGTGATTTTATGGGTGACTCGCCAATGACCGAAAATATTTTAGATGACTGTCTGATAGAAGACGATACTGAAACAATGGAATCGATGTCACTCACACTCTGCGTATTTAGCACCCTGGTGGGCGTTATAGAAAGACCAGGTGGTTTAGTATTGAGCAACATGGCCGAATTTTGGTTAGTCTCAACAGCAAACGTCGTCTTTTCGTGAACTAGCATTTCTCGATTAGCGCCATCTCCGAAAGCTCTACCCTCGACTTTTTCAGCAATAAAATTTTTTTCTGGCAGAATGTCTCCTGTTCCCTGGCGGTCCAACTGGCTAGCAACATTTTCTTGTATTTTGATTTTCGGAGATAATGAAGTATCTGATTCTGCAACTTGATCTGTTGAGAAAACATAGAAATACTTACAAAAACAATATAATATAAACTATAATTTACACAGTTTTAAAACAACAACTGATTTTGCTTTATATATGTTTATTCTTGAAGAACCATTTTTTTTTAATGGTGATGGTATAAGCATTACAATCAACTGCTTAAAATAACACGGTTTCAAAAATTTTAAATCTCGCATTTGATTTGGAATTTCTGTTAGACAAACAGTTTCAAAACCTTTATTACACAGTTTCTTTGTTGTTGTTTTTATCGATGATAAGGCACATAAACCTTTTCTTTACGTTTTGGAATAGAATCATGTTTACTGCATATAAAATTATATACAAATTTTTAGTCTTTTTCTTTTCGGTTATAGCAAAACGAAGTTCACAAAATTAAACTAATTCAAAGGCCCGTTTTCGAGATGGGTTAACGATAAAAAACTAAAACTTGCTTACCACCTAGCGTGAAATATAGAATGAGAAGTGCCACGGCCACAGACCCTACCATCACCAAAGAACAGAAGAAGATCTTGAGAGAATCAACACAGTATGGCTTTCGGCAGAGCTTATCTCGGTACTTCGGGTAAGGGGTGTCTGGGTCTAACGGCAAAGTACAAATGCTTTGCTGAAAAAGACAAAAACAAAATTACCCCCATTTATGCCCAATTCCTAAATGCATATTCTTGTATAATATTCCAATTAATAATTATATTACAGCAATTAACTATAGATATTTTAACATAAAAATATGTATCACGCATAATAACTGAAACTGAAAGTCTTGTAATAAAATAAATAAATAAAATGTTTATGATTATTCAGCATGAACTGGGTACATAATGAAATCGTATCATCTTAACAAATGTTTTATTACATATCGCGTAAAAAATTCGAAAGAGACGGCAGGCAACACAAAAATAATTAATAGGTTCTTTAGATTGTAATTTAAAAAATATGTGTATATTTTATTTTATGTGCTTTAAGCTAGCGGACGATCTAGATGATTAGGCCCCAGGCCTGAACGTTGCGGATGTAACCTTCTTAATGTTCATATAAAAACCCTTTGATTACAGAGATGTTATAAACGTATACGGCCCGGGTGTACCAAGCTAGACCCAAAGGTTCTTGAACTGTAAGTGACTGGGCAGACAGACATACAGCCGACCTCGTCCTTCAGCGGGCCTATCAGCCAACACCTGGTGCAGTCAACAGTAACGTCACAACACCTGGTGCAGCCCATAGTAACGTCATAACCAAAGTTAAGCTCTCCCGCAAAACTCGTCGTGTTCCAGGTTTAAGCCCGGTGCAGTTTGCTTACTCGCGAGTTTAAAATTGTGCATATCTATATACATAATAAATCTTAGTAATACGCAATGCAGAATAATGTAATACAATTATCAATCGCTGACAGAACTCATTCAGAGGCCAGATGTTACCATTTTTGGTGAAAAGATGACAAGGGATAGAATGTTGTAGATAACTGAGATAACAGTCCATAATGTATGAATTATGTGTTCATTACTAGTTCAATAGCAGTTACAAGTCACGAAATATAATAAAGACTTTAGAATTAAATGTTTTCTCTGATATCGAGCCTTGAGGATTAGTAAAGTAATATCAGACCAGAAGTGACAGAAAAATTCCGCAACATCCACACACGTTAGAGATTCTCATCTGAGCACTGACTACAGGTTTGATGGAAAATGTATGCAGAGGCTATAAGAAAGGAAATTTACACTTTGTAGTACTCCTACTTTCGCCGCCATTTTTTGAAAGAAGTAACTGTGACATAATTTCAAATAAGCATTTCGTTATATTTAGAAATGTTTTGATTTCATGAACTGTGCTATTCTTTATATTTTAGTTTCTCTAGGAAATGGGGAGACGAAACATAAAACATTTTAGCCGTGGCTTAGCGACTCATAGAATGGCTCAGAGTTTTTTTTTTTAAGTACAGACTTTTAGCTCATAGCTCCCTCTCTTGACATATTTTAGATCTATATACAGCCGTAGCTATTGAGTATTCTCTCTTGTTTTTCAAGTACAAACTTTTAGCTCATAGCTCTATCTCTTAACCGATTTGAAATATAATTACAGCCGCAGCTATTGAGTATTCTCTCTTGTGTTTCAAGTACAAACGTTTAGCTCATAGCTCTATCTCTTAACAGATTTGAGATCTAATTACAGCCACGGCTAGTGGGGAAGGAAGATTCCACGAGTGCCAAAGAGATTAAGGGACTGTTTCAGCAAGCATTTACGGAGCGGACAACCACCAACACGATTTATTATCAATATCCAGCATAAGAAATGTTTTGAAAAATTATCTACGGTGAAAATACTTGCAGAATATTATTGCTGTCGTACACGATCTGTTTGTTATTATGCTATGTAATACTGTAGATTGATAGTTGAAAATATTTAGTAGTAGTAGTATTGTGTAAACGAATGCATGCATGTAAATATACAACTAAAACATCAAAACACTGGAAATATCGGACTATTCTACTTTTTCTCTCCTTTATTAATTTCTTCAACCGGTTTCGTGATTTCAAAGTTCACTCTTCGGCATATAATTTTACTGATATATAATTTTTGTCTCTTCTGTAAGTCTTATTAGTAACAGTTTTCACGGTTTCGCAATTAATAAAGGAGAGAGAAAATAGAATAATCTGATTATTCCAGTGTTTTCTTACACATATACACACAGAAGTGTGTGTGTGTGTGTGTGTGTGTGTGTGTGTGTGTGTGTGTGTGTGTGTGTGTGTGTGTGAGAGAGAGAGAGAGAGAGAGAGAGATAATAATATATATATA